GGCCCAGGTGGTGGGGCAGCGTCCTTTCTCCCCAGAGAAAAGTGTGCAGAGACAGGGCCGAGGCCCAGGCAGGACGCCCCACTCTCACAGCGCTTGGCAGCAGGCAGGCCAGGAGCAGGCTACCCTCCTTCTGGATCCTTCCTAAGGGCCAGACCCACCATGGCTCTCAGGAGGTGCAGAAGCCGAGGAGCCTCTGACTGGCTGGGCATGGTTCATCCATATTTTTGTGGGTAGTAGTAGGTGGCTTATTCTCACTGCTGCTTCGTATTTCATTGTATTGATTTAGCCACTCTACTGTTGATAGGCATTTGGTTTGTTTCTAATTTTTGACTGTTACAATGATATGGTTATGAGCAATCTAGTATAAATATGTACCAATTTTATTTGAATCACTTGATAGCATCATTAGATTGTTAGACCAGAGACACGTGTATACAGTTTGCAGAGAGGCTCTTGGCAAACTCTCATGATATTCTTGTTGACCAGCTGGAAAAAGGTGGACTAGATAAAGGAATAGTTTGGTGGATTCTTGATTGATGTTCTGGAATAATACCAGCATAAAGGAGAGTCTATAGAGAAAGATTACAGGGCTTAGCCTATCCTGGTCAACATTTTTATCAGTGACTTCCAGTGAAGTTAGTTCAAATACCTTCAATTTTGTATTTGAAATGCAAGGCATTTGAACTGACGAAATTAAGGTAGATGGGACAGATGCCTAAATATTCACAAAGGAATGTAAAGTGTCATATTTGGGATTTTGAAAAAATTCATTTTTATCGGCCCACTAAAGGAGAGGGAAAAGCTCATCAGTTTCAGGTGGGAAAAGGGAGTTGTAGTTGACAGTGAATTCAAACTGCAAATTGTCTGCCGTTTCCTGTGTGTGTCTCAGGTTTTCAGGGAGACACTGACAGAGGGAAGTGCTGTAAATGCAGCGGAGAGAACTGGGATGGTGAATAGTCTGGAAGCCATATTTGTCACACAAGAGATTGAAGAAACTGGATTATTAGCCTGTAAGAGGGAAAACTCAAGGGGGTGAGATGTAAATATTTAATGGCAAGAAGGGCCCTTATGTGGAAGAGGTGTGAACTTGACTCAGTGTAGCTCCAGAGGAGAGGCCTAGAACTACTGAGTAGAAACTGTGAGAAACACGTTTTTTGGGTTAGTGGGAAGAAGAGCTATTAATCTCTTAAAAAAATGAAATTAGTCTGGCTGGTGTGGCTCATTGGATGAGTGTTGATCCATGAACCTGGAGATTGCCGGTTCAATTTCTAGTCAGGCACATGCCTAGGTTGCAGGCTTGATCCCCAGTAGGAGGCAGCTGATGGATGATTCTCTTTCATCACTGATGTTTCTATCTCTCTGCCTCTCTCTGAAATCAATAAAAACATAATTTTAAATAAATGGAATCATTTTTCTAGTATTGAGATTTTATAGTCCCTGGGCATTTGAAACAGAAAATGGATTCAACAGTCGCCTAAGTTTTGTGTGTTACATAGTAAGTGTTTGAAATTCGGTGCTGGAAGAATTATTTCAGGTTTACCATTCTTTCTCAGGGATTTCTTAGTTTGGGCAAGCACACTAAATGTGGGTACCTGATCCTGAGTGGGCCTGCAGGCTTCGTTCTGTTCTGGATCTACTCAGGTGGTTTCTTCCTGGCTGTTAGTTCCAGAGTTGATGCTGGGCCTTTGTGCCTGAGCTATTCCAGAAGCCCATGGAGACTGGGTTTAGATGCTTAGAGCAGTGACCTCTTTACAGCCTCTCCTTTCTCCAAAGCAGGTGTCAGAGCAGGAATGGAGCTGCACCTGAGTCAAGGGTCCAAAGTGATTTCAGCCCATCTTCTTGTGGACTTGGGTCAGTGTTGGGTGGGGACTGAATTGCACCTAGAGATAAAGAGAGGAGGGTAGGGCATCTCCTTGAGATTAACTTGAAGCTGCCTTCAAATTCTAACTCCATGGTCCTCCCCCGCTTTCCCTGCTTCTGAAGCAGGAGGTGGGGGCTCTACTTCGAGAACAGTGCACTTGGCTGGGCTCTGAGGGCCTCTGGTCAGCTGTATCCGCTGACTGGGGACAAAGAGCCCAGTCAGCACTGCTACTTGCCATACCATTTCCTGCTTCATGGCCAGGAGGTCCCGGAGGAAGCTGGGTTTGGGAGAAGGTATTCTCTTTAGGCAGTTCCTCTGCTTCCTGATTTCTTCCCATGAGATTCCCTTCTCCATTAAAACCAAGCCCCCTGTGCTCAATACAGAGAGCAGATTATGGCAATATGGTGGGACAGTGGCTGAGGAAGAAGGCTGAGAGTGGGTAGGTGGTGACTGGTGGGTAAAAGAAAGGATACAAATGAATAGAGATGGGAGTAGAGAAGCTGTAGGGGACTAAAGTATAAGCCATCCATGTATTTTCATTTCAGAATTTGTTATAATAAAGGACGGAGCTGAGAACAGAGCCCATGCACAGGCTACAGACTGATTCTGAACCAGAGCTAGTCCAGCAGCCTATCCCATTTGGTATTATGACCCGAGGTTACTCTGATGGCTAAGCATAGGTTTTATGGCAGCATCATATGGTTCCATTTGTAAGACAGAAGCAGAACCCCATGGGTTAGGGTAAGGGTTACAGGAGGAAGAGAAGGGCTGGAGGCAGAAGTACAGTGGGGCATAAAGGACAAGTGACTAGCTGAGGAGGATCCACAGATATGAAGGATTTGTGGAGGGTGAGAAAAAGGGCACTGTAGCCATTTTGTAGGGTGCTTGTGGAGACTGTATGCTTCTGTCTTTAATTATTAACAGCACTGGGGGGAAAAAATAAAATGCCCAGCTGGCGTGGGTCCGTGGTTCAAAGTTGACTTATGGACCAGGAGGTCACGGTTCAATTCCCCGTCAGGGCTTATGTCTCAGTTGTGGGCTTGATCCCTAGTGTGGGGCATGCAGGAGGCAGCTGATCAGTGATGCTCTCTCATCATTGATGTTTCTCACTCCCTCTTCCTTCCTTTATGAAATCAATAAAAATATCTATACTAATAAAAGTATAATATGCTAATTAGACCAGACAGCAGAATGAACTTCTGAATGTCATCCCATAAGTCCTTCTGGACAAAGCCGAGGCTGCGAGGCTGAGGCAGAGGCACTTAGGGGCAATGAGGCAGGCAGGCAGGTGGTTAGGGGCAATGAGGCAGGCAGGCGAATGGTTAGGGGTGATGAGGCAGGCAGGCAGGTGAGTGGTTAGGAGCCAGCAGTCCTGGATTATGAGAGTGATGTCCACTGCCAGCTTAACTGTACCCGTAACTTCATTCATATATATATATATATATATATATCTATATCTATATATATATATATATATATATATATATTACTAGAAAGTTACGGGTACTTTTTTTGCCCAGCCCTTGTGATAAGATTTTATAGTTTGTTGTCTTTTTTATTAGGCAGAAACGCAAGTGCATGGGACAGGAATGTCCCTTTGCTAGGAAGAGCAGAAAAGAAATTGTGCTGTGAGTAGAACAGGAAGGTTATAAGGTAAGGGAGAGAAACAAACAGAAGAAAGGACCACTATGGTGAGAGGCTGGTCTTTCTGCTTCTCAGAATGAAGTAGCCTCTGGCTAGTGTGATGAGGCTAGAACAGAACAAAATGGGAGAACTAGGGACACGGAAGGACACGCCACTGCCAGAACTGAGACAGGGAGTGCTTTCTGACTGTGTTGATGGCCTGAAGCAGGCAAGCCCAGCAATGGGCCTCACTTTCTCCACCGGAAAGGCAGGCTGATTCTGACCTTGCCCTTTGTGAGAAGGACTGTTAAGCTATCCTTCTTGTGCTCCAGTTGCTGAGTTGGGAAGGAAGGAGCAGTGAAGCGGTTCACTCTGCCGCAGTGGGGTATGTGCCTGCCTGTCTGTGTAAGAGGTTGGCGGCGGGGTCGGGGGAGGCAAGCAGGATGGTTGAGTGACATTCTGCTGAGTTTCAGAATTATATCTTGTGACTTTTCCCTGCCACATCCTGGCGCTATTGGTCAACCTCACAGCATGTGTGGCCTTTCCTTCTTGAATTTCTTTTTCTGAAGCGGATTGTAACTTTTTTGTGGAGTGTGATGGGTTTCTCTGAGGTTCTGACAAAAGCTACAAACCTTTTTCTCAGGAAAATGCATAATACTTTGGCTATTCCTACATAACACTCCATGAAACATTTCAGGCGTTGTGGAAGTCCTAGGTTAAGAACTCTGGCTCTAAGGGCAATCTTCGAATGCACTTTACTGAAGCTCATCCAGGTGAAGGGATTGCCTCTACCTTGGGGGAAGGACTTGAGGACTGTTTGTGGCTCTCATTTTTCCATTGTCCAGTCAGGAAAAATGCCCTGTCCACATTCTGTAGGAATCTCTGTTCCAAGAACCTTTCCAAGCACAAAAACAAGCAGCTGAGCTGGCAGGCACTTTCAGGAAGTCTGGCCTCCATCCCAAACTCTGGCTACAAGTCCTGACCTGCTGGCCCAGACATTGGATAGTCATAACAGGACTCCTTAAGGTTAATAGTAATAGCACAGCATCGGTGTCCTGGGTCCTAAGCCCATGCGGTGGGTGTGTAGGAGGGTGAAAAGGGGGCAGAAACTGTGACTTTTCAGAGACTACAGCTGAACACATCCTAATTCCCTACAGCCTCCAGTTGCCTCTCACTGCTGTGAGCACTTTTGTATGTAAGCAAATCCACATTTACTTTGTGTCTCCCATTTGTGTCATCTAGTTGAGTGTGTGAGTGTGCGTGCGTGCGTGCGTGTGTGTGTGTGTGTGTGCGTGTGTGTGTGTGTGTGTGGTGCTGTGTAGATAGGTGCTCAGCAAGTTCTTTTGCATGATAATAGTGAGGACATTCTGGGCAGAGGTTTCCAGTGCAGTGCAGGTGTGAGCCCAGCACTTGTCTTTGGCCAAAGGCCTATTACTGGTACTGGAAAAATTGCTTGGGAGTGTAAGGCCATCTGGATGGTGCAGTCGGTCACCAGTCGGCATTATTTTTCTTTCAGGCCTCTTAACCTTCATTAACTGTGCCTATGTCAAGTGGGGAACATTGGTACAAGATATTTTCACCTATGCTAAAGTACTGGCTCTGATCGGTGTCATCATCGCCGGCATCGTTAAACTTGGCCAAGGTAAGAAATAATAGCAACTAACATTTGTTACCCATTTTCTGAGTCACACTCCTCTAAGCCCTCTTTATGCATTATCCCATTTGATAGGCCCTATCATCCCCATTTTATAGATGAAAAAACGGAGGCTTCAGAATTAAGTATCTTGCCCAAGATCCTAGCTATTAAGTAGTGGAGCCAAAATCTGTACCCAAAGCCTGTCCTTTAATGTCTATGCATACTGCTTCCCAGTGGAGGATGATCTTGGCAAAAGGGCGGACAGCCGTGCACTGGGAGATGGCTTTTGCAGATTGTCAAGCTCAATGCTGTGGCTATGATTGCTCTCCCCTTGGGCATGAGCAAGGGCAGAAATGAACTCCTTATAGCTGCTCTATTGACCTGGGCATATTGAGCCTTGCCCTTCTCCACCCTGTATCAGCTCAGTCTGGTGTTAGAAAGGAGGCAGGATTGGGCACCTTACAGGGCAGGACAGAACTGCATCACTCCTGTTCTCCAGCCCTTCTCCTAGGAGTCCACCTTGGGGCCTTCCTGTCAAGATCCCCATTCTGTGCCCTGCATTTGGCCCACCACAGTAGATGTCTCTGTTCTGTTTCCTGTTCCTCCACTGATAGCCTTGCTGCCAAAGGTGTTCTAAGCTACTCACTTGCTGTTCGTTATACTGTGCCATTCCTTTACTGGGTTATCTTGAGGGTGGGGAGTAGGTCACTAATCCTTCTGCCATTCTATGTTCCCTGGATTCCAGGAGCCACGAATCACTTTGAGAATTCCTTTGAGGGGTCATCATTTGCAATGGGTAACATTGCCCTAGCGCTGTACTCAGCTCTGTTCTCCTACTCGGGCTGGGACACCCTCAACTATGTCACCGAAGAGCTCAAGAATCCTGAGAGGTAGGTATCTCACCATCAACTTTCCTTGGCAATAATGATGGCCTTCATTTACAGAGCTTCTGCTGCACAGCACACCACCGCCACGTTTTAATAGATGTGAAGCCTGAGGCCCAGAAAAGTATCTTATCTGTCATCATAGTAACAGAGCTTTGTGAAGTTTCTTGTGTTTTTTTTTTTTTTTTTTTTTTTTTTTTAAATTAAGGTCTTTTCACACTTATTCATTCATCCCTGTATTAAGGCAGGCTATCTAATGGACTCCTGTATGCTTTCACAATAGACTTTCCTTGCTAGGTTTTTCACTCACCCATATCCCCACATAGAGAATTTAAGCTCATAGACTCCCAGAATCCTTCCTGTTTCCCTTCTGATCCTTTGTTTCTCAAATTCATACTGGCATAGTGGTATTGTTTGTCATTCAATGGGATCGCCTCACCATTGTTACCCTAAATTACCCTCTAGTTATGCAGAGTGAAGAGCACTGGACAGGGTTTAGCAAGGCCTCTCTTTCCAACAATTTCTTGGATGACCTTGAGGGAGTCCTTGACATCTATCTGCTTCCTTATCTCTAACAGAGGGGGGTAAATTATAAGATCTCAGAGCCTTTCCTGGCTTTGAAATTCAGTAATTCTGGGAACTAAGATTCACCAAAGAGCAGAGTTTATATAATTTTTTAGTCAAAAGAATAATAATAAATTCCTTTTGGCTGTGAGAAACAGAATACTTTTGGTACACTTGCAACTCAGAGCAAATAGAAACAGGATTGAGGCCTAGGTGGTACTTCCACCTACTGGACAGAAGCTGAATGACTTGAATATTTAGCTCCGCCCCTTCCCCCCTCGATTCTCACTGTGAAGAATGTTTATATAGATCATGGCTTTATTTGGACTAGAGCAGTGGTTGGCAAACTCATTAGTCAACAGGGCGGCAAACTTTGGCTCACGAGCTGCAGTTTGCTGACCACTGGGCTAGAGGGACCTTGGGAAGTCTTTGCATCTTTCTCTTGGCTACTGGTTAGGATGGTAGACAAGGTTTTCAAACTGAGTAAGGAGGTGGATGGACATATCTCATTCATGTATCATATCTCAGGTTGCTCATTCACTGTTCTTCCCACTGAGGGAATATCTTTTTCTCTGGAGACTTGGACTTCATAATTTCTTCTTATATTTCTCAATCTTAAGAATTTTTTTTTTTTTTACATTTTAATTTTTTCAGTATTCACAATTATAAAGAATTCTCGGATGTAAAACAAAAAACAAAAGAAACCCATCTTCCTGTGCTGTTATTATAAGACATACTACGTGTACCAGTTAATGCGGATTTTGTAATCAAAACACGATAAATTCAAGAGGATTTAAAGTGCTTGATTTAAAGTAATGTGCATTGCTAGCTACACATTTTCCCCATCTTTAAGTTAATTTGTGGATACTGTCCCAATAGAACTTTTCTTGTTTTGAGGCAAACCATTCAGAGACCCAATTGTCCATTTCTTTGTACGTTTTGAAGTCCTGCTCAGAAAGTGTGTATGACATTGATTGGAACAAGTGGTAATCTGAAGGAGCAAGGTCTGGTGAATATGGTGGGTAGTTTAATAATTCCCAGGCAAGATCTTTAAATGTGTCTTTAATTGGTTTTGAAGTGTGTGATGGTGCATTATCATGAAGCAAAATTACTTTGCCTTGTCTTCTGGAACGTTCGGGTTGTTTCACAATAAAAGCATGGTTCAAATTGATTATTTTTGTTGGTAGTGATCAGTATTTTTTTTTTTTAAATATATTTTATTGATTTTGTATAGAGAGGAAGGGAGAGAGAGAGCTAGAAACATCGATGAGAGAGAGTCATCGATCAGCTGCCTCCTGCACACCCCCCACTGGGGACATGCCCGCAACCAAGGTACATGCCCCCAACCGGAATCGAACCCGGGACCTTTCAGTCTCCAAGCCGACACTCTATCCATTGAGCCAAACCGGTCCCGGCGGTAGTGATCAGTATTAATGGTTTCACCAGGTTTTGGAAATTCATAATACACTACACCTTCCTGATCCTACCAAATGCAGAGCATTGTCTTCTTTCCAAAGCAATTTGGCCTTACCTTGCAGTTGATGTTGATGGTTGACCTGGATCAAATCATGATTTTGTGCGTTTGGGATTCTCAAAATAAATCTACTTTTTATCGCCAGTCACAATTCAATGCAAAAAAGACTTTCTTTCGTGTGTTGAAGCAACATTTTACTGATGACTTTTCGGTTTCCATTCAGTTGATGTGGCACACATTTTCCTCCCTTTAAAATCTTTTCCATTGCTTGTAAAGGATCAGAAATTGTTTGCTGAGTAATGTTTAATTTTTCTGCAAATTGTTTTTGAGTTTGACACACATCTTCATCCTATAATGCTTGTAATTGTTGGTCTTCAAACCTTTTCAGTTGACCTGGACGTTGTCTTTCACATCAAAATCATCAATTTCAAAGCGTTTAAACCAGCATTCACAAGTATGTTGAGATGGAATATGTTCACCATAAGCTTCCCAAAATATACAATAACTTTCTTCAAAATAAAGTAATGAATTAAAACTTCTCACAAATGCTCTTTTTTTTTGGCATGAAATTTGACATTTATTAACACTTTCAGAAAATTGACATATAAAGTTTTGAAGCTTGTTATCAATACAACAAAATAGCCTATATATCAAATCACATATATAGCAACATATGTGTTACTCCATCTATTGAAAAAAATCTGCATTATTAACTGGTACACCTAGTAGTTCTTTGTTAATCCTTTATTTTACTTTATCTTGGCATTGTAGCTGTGTCTCCAAATATGATTATCCTTTCCTTTGATATTCGTTAGTTCTTAAGAGTTCAAAGCTAAGGATTAAAGGAGGGATGAGGATGCGACTATGGACTCACATATCTTCTATTCTATTTGGCTATAGGAATTTGCCTCTCTCCATTGGCATTTCTATGCCCATTGTCACCATCATCTACATCTTGACCAATGTGGCCTATTACACCGTGCTAGACATGAAGGACATCCTGGCCAGTGATGCTGTTGCTGTGGTAAATGATTTTCATTAGCAGAGAAGCTGAGGGTGTTTGTGGGCTTCTAGGTACAGTGCAGCTCTTGAAAGTCCCAGTAAAGAGACACTCCTTGAAAGGATACTGGGATACTGGATTTGTAAGGAGGTACTATTACCTCTGTAGTAGAAGGGTTGGATTCCAAGTAGTGGGAATCTAGGGACATGTCTGTTTATGCCTCTCACCCCTAATGACTCTTTTCCTTAGACTTTTGCAGACCAGATTTTTGGAATATTCAACTGGACAATTCCACTAGCAGTTGCATTATCCTGCTTTGGTGGCCTCAATGCTTCCATTGTGGCTGCTTCTAGGTATGAGCGGTATCTTTTATTGGAAAGCATTTTGAAAACTATGGCAGGGGAGGTATGACTTACAGGATCCAGACTTTAGTCACTGTGCTCCCCAAATGACGTTCACAACCTCTTTGCTCTTATTTCCATCAGTAGCATCCAGTACTTACTAATCTCTATATTGAACTCCATTCCATATTATCTACCCTTTTGGAGGTGATTGCAGAGGGCCCTTTAGTTCAGGAACCAGGCCACACCCAATATCCCATGTTTCTCAGTCTCTCCTATCTTACCTAAAATAGGCTTTTCTTTGTGGGCTCACGAGAAGGTCATCTCCCTGATGCTATCTGCATGATTCATGTCCATCGGTTCACCCCAGTGCCTGCGCTACTTTTCAATGTAAGTGATCCCAAGGATGAGGCTGAAAGCCAGAGTGTGGGGGAAACTTTAGTAACAGTAGAGGCAACTGTCCTAACTTCCTAAATACTCTAAAGGAGAATCTAACAGAAAAAAATACTAATGGAACATAGTGTGGGCAAGACACACTCTGCTAACTGCTGCGGTAGTTCCTAAGAGAGAATCTATCTTCTCTAAGGAATGGTAACCTCCTTTGGTTTAGGATAAGCCATAAAGCACATGGGATTATTTGTAATGATTGCCATGATAGTCAGTGATGTAGTGTTTAGGGAAGAAACGAGTGATGTCCATAGGGGGAAAAGGGTGAATGAAGAGACTTCTTTGACTAAGTGCATTTGAAGTAGATTTTTAAGGTTAGGGTTGCAAATGGTAGTGGAGATGGGCTTTAGGTTAAAAGAAACAGCATCAGAAAAAAACACACACAAAAAAAACAGCATCAGAAAGTTCTGAGATAAAGCAATGTGAAGTCGGGTAGTGGATGATAAGTTGGAAATATACTTTGGAACCATTATAGGGAGGCTTTTAAGCAAAGATTAAAAAAATTTAAAAATATGGCCAAGACCGGTTTGGCTCAATGGATAGAGCGTTGGCTTGGGGACTGAAGGGTCCCGGGTTCGATTCCGGTCAAGGGCATGTACCTTGGTTGCGGGCATATCCTCAGTAGGGGGTGTGCAAGAGGCAGCTGGTCGATGACTCTCTCTCATCGATGTTTCTAACTCTTTATCTCTCTCCCTTCCTCTCTGTACAAAATCAATAAAATATATTTTAAAAAAATTTAAAAATATGTATTTTTATTGATTTCAGAGAGGAGATAGAAAGATCAATGAGAGAGAATCGATTGGCTGCCTCATGCACACTTGACACTGAGCCTGCAACCTGAGCATGTGCCTTTACTGGGAATTGAACTATGACCTACTGGTTCATAGGTTGATGCTCAACCACTGAGCCACACCAGACAGGCTAAGCAAGATTTTTGAGGAATTGTTTTGAGCTATACTTTATAGAAATGAGGTGTTGAAACTCAGGAGATGCTAGAGCAGAAAAGGACAGATAGGGAGACTGCGGATTTGACAAAAGAGAGGGACTCAGTAAAGGAGAGTGAAAAATACCTTGAACAAAGGCCCTGAGGAGCTGATTGTACTTACAGGGACTCATGGCATTGATCTATCTATGCGTGGAGGACATCTTCAAGCTCATTAACTACTATAGCTTCAGCTACTGGTTCTTTGTGGGGCTCTCAATTGTGGGTCAGCTTTATCTGCGCTGGAAGGAGCCTGATCGACCTCGCTCCCTTAAGGTAAGTCACCTCCATCTCACCTCTGCTCCACCTGCCCTGGGGATTCTTACAAGATGGTTTGTTTAGAAACCTTTGCCCTGGACTTGCTGGTGTCAGGGTGTTGAGATGAAGGGAATGGAAAGGCAGCTCAGTGCTCCGATCTGCAGAGGTGGGGTTAAGCTTGTCAATCCTGAGCTAACTTCCAGTTGTTTCTTCTGTGCCCTCAGCTCAGCCTTTTCTTCCCCATTGTCTTCTGCTGCTGTACCATCTTCCTGGTGGTCATTCCACTTTACAGCGACACCATCAACTCCCTCATTGGCATTGGCATTGCCCTCTCGGGCTTGCCCTTTTACTTCTTCATCATCAGAGTGCCAGAACAAAAACGACCTCATTGCCTCCGAAGGATTGTGGGTAAGATCTAATACTCAGGTTAGCTTGGCTAATGTACTTTTTTTTTTTTTTTTTTTTTTGCCCCTTCTGAAAATCCTGTTCCAAGTCACCTTGGCCATAGCCCCTTCCTATCGTTAACCGCAAGGCTTTACTGAATCGTCTCCTCAGGCCCAATTCAGTGCCACTGGAACTCAGACCAGTTGACCTCAGAATTCTGAGTTTTGATTCACTTCTCTTTGTAGCATCTACTACAAGGTACCTCCAGATCCTATGTATGTCAGTAGCTGCAGAGATGGATTTGGAAGATGGAGAGATGCCCAAGTCTAAGTAAATAACACCTGGAATCCTGAGATATGAAAAGCAGAACCTCATCTTCTACTGGTTGGAGCCAAGGAAATTGAAAAGGAAAGCTTACTTCTTTGGAGGCACCTGCCCAGAAGCCTGGTCTAGGCAGCTTCAACCACCTTTGAACTTGCTTTTTTTGAGATAGACAGTAATTTATTTGTTTTGCTACATATTGTTCCAATTTTTAAAAAGGGATAATAAAGCAGACTGTGGTGGGAGCATGTCAGGTGTGGGCTTGGTTATTCTAATAGCACATTCCCATGTGTTAAGATATTCACTCACCTCTGGGTGTGCCTTACACCTCTTTTCCTTTAAAAGGGCCAATAATGCTCCAAACTTCCTGTCTCTTTTAGAGACATGAGAATGTATGGGTGCTGGACAATAAAAGGGTTATGTTCCTAAACTTTGAGTGGCTTCATTTTACATAGTGTCTCTGGGGCAGTTCCTATTAGTCTGGCAGGAAAACTAAAACAAACAAACCCCACACAATCTAATGCTTGAAAGTACCCGAGTATTTCTTCCCTCTCAAGCCTATTGCTGAAGGTTGATAAAACCAATCTCTACCTCTAAACTGCTGTAGGTTAAGGTTAGATAAAAATGACATCAACTTCCATTCTTTTTTTTTTTTTTAAATATATTTCATTGATTTTTTACAGAGAAGACGGGAGAGGGAGTTAGAAGCATCAATGAGAACGAAAATCAATCAGCTGCCTCCTGCACACCCTCTATCGGGCTGTGCCTGCAACCAAGGTACATGCCCTTGATTGGAATTGAACCTGGGACCCTTTAATGTGCAGGCTGACGCTCTAGCCACTGAGTCAAAACCAGTTAGGGCTCAACTTCCATTCTTCTTAATTACCACAAAGAATTTGAGCCCAGCTGGCATGGCTTAGAGGTTGAGAGTCAACCTACTGATCAAGAGGTCACAGTTTGATTCCAGTCAGGACACATACCCAGGTTGTGGGCTCAATCCCCAGTGGATATGAGGCAGCAGATCAATGATTCTCTCTCATAATTAATGTTTCTATCTCTCTCCCTTCCTCTCTAAAATAAATAAAAATGTATTAAAAAAAAAAAGAATTTGAGCACATCAACCTCTTGAAGGATGTCTTATAGGTAACCTTGGGATAAATAAATGTGGTTATTCTATTTAAATATAATCTCAACTTAGCAGACATATCTCTGCAATGCAAATGTGGCTGGAACAACACATTTATGGGATCGGTATCTAAGCTCTAACACCAGGTAACTTCACTGAGACACTTCCTAAGAGCACGGGCCAGCAAGAGCAATCACTATCAATCTGTTCTTTAGTTTTCTGACGCACACAATCCACCTCCCCACTTAATAAGTACCAGGAAGCAACATATAATGCAGAGGTTTACTAATTCTGTAGATGGAAAGATCATTTGGCTCCCCAGTGCTCTTTTATACTTAGATGTAAGAGTTTACAGTGGAATCCACTTTTAAAACAAACATCTCCATGTCCCATAGTTTCTAGGTCTGAGGCAAGGACCCAGCAAAAATCTTGTTCTAAGGCCGAGTCTTGGGAGAAGACGACTTAATGTCAGTATGAGCAGGGAAAAAATTCAGCCGAGTGTGTCACGCCAGGGTTTCTTTGACTTTGGTTTGTTGCAGCTGCTGTTAGGGGTGGTGGAAGGGGGATTTTCCCCACGCTGTAGTAGAGGGTTGTGGGTAAAGGTCTGTCGTAAGGGACCTAGGGGAAGAAGAGAAGGTTAATGAACAAAGGAAAGGGAGAAACAATGACAGAAATTAGCCTGAAAGGGTTATTTACCCCTGGCTGCTAGTTCCAAGTGATTCTGCATGCGCCGTTCACGCTCTTGTAGCTGATGGTTGATTTCAGCATTCTTCCAGCCTATATAGAATAAGACAGTTGGGTCTCATACCTACTTTTAGGCTACTTTCCACTGGTCATGATTCAGAGGACAGGCCCTTACCGCGTTTGAAGCTCTTTATGAAGCCTTCCTGTGGAGGTAATTTGTCGGCGTCATGCACAACACGCTGGGGGATTTTAAGAATAGTGCGTACAGCTGGAATACGGAGGCAAGACACTTGGACCAGGGAAAACATATTCGAGGAGAACCAATACACGAACACTGCCTGGATGGTAAGGAAAAGAAGGCACTTAGAAGCTGCATCCCTGATCAGACTGCTGGGAGGTGACTAGGCCAGGAGAAAGGACTTGAAGCTAGCCCTACGTCGTTACGTACCGTGGGGAAATGGATAGTTATGGGCAAGACTGCCAGGGGTATCAATCTCATAACATTTCTCATCCAGTGAAGCTCAGAACTTTGCACACCAGTCTCAGCACCTAACTGGGGGGGAAAAAAAAATCAGAGGAAGAGTAGCAATTTTAGGGACTATTGCTCAAATTTCTTATGCATCAAAACTACTCCTCCAGGGAGTGAAGGAGGACTATTCTGTACAACTACATTACTCCTAATCCCAGCTCACTTTGCAGGCCTGGCACTTGGCCAACCTGGGCTTACCTCAAGGACACCCCACATTGTAGCAGTGACCACGATCGGTAATATGTAGGTGGGGTCAGACAGTGTGAGGTCCTGGAACCACCAGAGGCCGCCTGTCTGCAGGCTGGGCACAGGAAGGTTGGCCATTTCTCTCAAGGAGATGAAGAAGGAGATGAAGATTGGTGCCTAACACACAGGACAAACAGTGTCAGTATCCTTTATCAGAGGGGATATTTTCATTATCTCATTCCTGAAAACCACCTGCTTTTTGGACATCTAGGGCATGGGAAACAGGAGATAATCTGATTGGTTCAGGATAAAATAAGGAAAATATTTTTACTTACCTGAGTCAGAGGTAGAATGAGAGGTTTAAAGAGTTTAATGTCATGCTTTTTCTGATACAGTGTCATCTCCGAGGAGGCCCTGTAAACTGTGAAGTGAGGAGAAGTTAGTGGTTGGGCAGACAGTTACATTGGTGGAAGTGACCGTCCTCGTTACCCGGCCCATCGCATTTCTAACTGACCCCTCAGACTGGAACCATTAGGCTCAAGAAGTAGGTAAAACTTTAAGACCTGTTTAGAGGTAGCAACTCCTGACTTAGGTTGTTTCTTCCCCTCTGCAGAATGTCAGGAAGAGTGTAAATGTGGTCCCACGCTCATCCTGCAATTGACTCACACTCAACATGGTCTCCTGCCAACTTGGCCTCTCTGATTCGCAAGGAAAACTTCTGGATCTCTGGCATGTGGTTGTGGATCTTGGCTGCCTCTCGTTGGCCCTTCACAATGAGAGGAAACACCAGGCAGCGGGCAATGACTGTACCTACAAAATACACACGAGGATTGGAGTGAAATTAAAGCAGTTCTGCAGCTAGAAGGTTGAAGTTTTCTAGATTCTCACTGAAAGGATCTCTTATTCTAGTCTTTCCACGTTGTGACTCATACCCAAGGGGCATAAAACAAAGGGTAGGAATATGGGTTAGTTTCTTCAAGGCTCAGTTCTCTGCTTTAACATTACAAAAGTCTAGCATTAACTTCTCTAAACAAATGATCATGAATCTAGTTTGTTTCCTTGAACAAAAGGCGACAGTAGGTACCTTTCTAGACCAATGGTTTCTAAACTTTTCTATCAATAGAACATCTTCTCTCTGCCCCCAACTCTTAGCCCTAATATGTGTGACAGATAAAACCTAGCTGTCCTAGGTGAGGGGATAGTCTGGCTGTAGGACTGTTTTAGTTCTCGACTTGCTTTGCTCAGAGGTACCTTACAGAATTCTGGGGTTCTCACGAATGAAGTTTAAAAGCTGCTGTCCTAGAAACCTCTGGAGCAGGAGGTAATATGGTGGTCTGCTGCTCAAGCTCCTTTCTATTTCTTACCCTGCTTGAGCCCTTTTTCTTTTTTTACACTTTATATTTCCCAATTATGCCAACAAATGTTTACTTAATTTATGGTATCTATAGATTAAAAAGTGGGTTCTGGCTAAAAAGAGATGGGGGTTGGGGAGAGATTTAAGTTTAGGCTTTACCAACATGATGCTGATGTGCTGTGGAAAGAGGGGAGCTAAGGATGGAATCCAGAATACCAGCACTAAAAATGGGAAGTTGTGGTCAGAAAGACAGAAGAAAATCAGAAAAGACTGTCACAAAAGCCAAGGAATATATTCCCAAGTCTAGTATCTAACACAGAAAGGCCAACTATAAATAGCAAAGTGGATTTAGCAATGATATAACTGGCAGTTAAAATGAAGCAGTATTAGTAAAAGCCAGATTGCTGAGGGTCAAAGAGTGGAAAGAAATAAGCCTACTATGATACAGAATATAATTTTAAATAACAGCTATGAAAAGGAGAAAGACAGCATAGAAGATAAAGGTAAACCAAAGAGAAAGGGCAAATATTTCCTTCCAAGAAACACATGGTATGCTTGAGCATGTTTGTATTCAGAGTAGGGCAGTAAAAAGGGAGATGAAGACTCAGGGAGATGATCACTGGAATAACATGTAGGAGAAAATACAGAATCTGAAGCAGTTTTAGCCTGCAATGTGTTTTCCCAATTTTGGGGTTTAACTGCTTGACCAAATGTGCTCTCCTAAACCAGGGCAGCTTCATCACTGTTAACAAGATCCTCTTGCTCTAACCTCATGCTCACACTCAAATATCTACATTTCTTGAATTACAGATGCTCTAGTGCAGTGGTCTGCAAACTCATTAGTCAACAGAACCAAATATCAACAGTATGGCTGAAATTTCTTTTGAGAGCCAAATTTTTAAAACTTAAATTTCTTCTAATGCCACTTCTTCAAAATAGACTCGCCCATGCCATGGTATTTTGTGGAAGAGCCACACTCAAGGGGCCAAAGAGCCACATGTAGCTCGAGAGCTGCAGTTTGCCGACCATGGTTTTATAATGCCCTTTGGGAAATATAGGTATAGTGTATCTAGTATCATGAGCTTTCCCCCCTCATTTGAATATGTTTTTTCTGACCCCTAAACTTCTGCACTA